GGGAGCTGAGCCGGGGCCTCGTGGAGCAGCTGGTGCGGCTGCTGCGGCGCGAGGAAGAGGAGCTGCTGGGGCTGGTGGCAAAGCAGCAGGAGCAGGGCCAGCAGGAGCTGGCACAGGAGCTGGGGCACACCGAGAGGGTGCTGCGGCGAATGGAGGCAGGCGAGCGGCTGGTGGAGAAGATGAGGCTGTACGCCACGGAGCAGGAGGTGATGGACATGCAGCCCTTCATCAAGGGCTCGCTGCAGGAGCTGCGGTGCTTGCGGCCAGCGGCGTCTGGGAAGCGAGCGCAGCCTGGGGACTTGGCCGAGTGCCGGGCCAGGCTGCAGGCGCTGGTGGAGCGTGTCACCGGGCACTCAGGTGAGGAGGCACTTGACCAGGTGGGCTGCGGAGGGGGGGATCTGAAAGCAGAGTTGAAGTTTATAATCCCTGGTTAGACCATATTCTCCATGGGTTTCAAGTCTCCTTTCACATGGTGAGTGGATGGATCTTTGCCTCCTGATGCTCCTGTGGTGGGCACATTCCAGCCTCCTCCGAGGATAGGATGCAGTTGTTGCGTTCATCGCTTCCAAAGCAATGGTTGCCTCTTGCCCTTATGGCAGTCCCCCAAATGCAGTTGTAATGGGAAGGCACCTGGTGAATCGCTCAGGATGGAGCCATGCCATGGGTTAAAGGACAACGGAGGTGAGTGACACCTGGAGATGGCGTGCGTGGAGCAGAGGCTGGTGTTGGCGAGGAGGAAGGGTTGGGTCAATTCTGCATCCTCTCTGAGAAGTATCTGTGCTGGTGACATGTGCAGGTCCCTCAGGGGACGATCCTCCTGGCCTTAGTGTCCTGCCACCCACTGACCACTTCTGCTCCTCAGATCTCCAGCCAGTTTGCCCTTGCTCAGCCTTTGCCCATAAGCATCTGGGGCAGTTCCACTTCTGGGTTGTTGATTACCACCTTGGGATGGCATATCCAACCAGGAACACACTGCCTGACAGCGATGGCAAGAGGTCCATGACCACTGCTGTGTTTGCCCAGGTCTTCCCCAGCTCTTTGGCAGCAGATGGTGGTGGTTTAGGAATGGTGAAGGCCTTAGCATCTGTGGGTGTGTGCAGTAATGGTGTGCTGGAGGGTCCAGATTTAGTCAGAATGTGGTAGCATCCTTCCAGAAAATGAGGTGGTGGGCGGGGAAGCAGTGGGAGGAAGAGATTTTGCAGGGTCTTCTGCTCCATCCCCCTGCTACTGTCTTCAGACCCAGGCTATGACCACTCTCCTCCTTGGCCCTCTGTGGGTGTCCACCACTAATGTCCCCAGGGCAAGCTCATGGGCTGTGGACAGTCCATAGAAGAGACATGGGGTGATGTCCCAGATGGAGCTTGGGGTTTCCTGGGGTCAAGCTGCCTCCCACTCCATTCTTTGTGTCTCCATCGCATGGTAGACATCGTCCCTCTGCCTCCTCTCTCCACCCCACCTGAGACAGGCTGGGAGGACCCTCTAAGCCCTGATTCTCCTCTCCTACTCCCTTCAGCCCTGGTCCCCATGACAGATACCTCCGTTCCCCAGCATGACTCCCCATCCAAAGATGAGACCGCCCTGATCCTCGACCTCGAGCCTCTCAGGGAGTATTGTGAACCGCATGGAGGTCTCCTCATGGAGCTACCTGCCCACCACGAGCCCTGCACCCCCGTGTTGGACCTCTCTGACAGCAGAGGCCATGTGTGTCCAGACCAGGAAGGGGATATGTCCCCCACCCAACCCAAACCTCCAGCCCTTCCGATGCAGAGGGATGAAGAAGCAGAGGAAGACTTGGGATCAGCCCATGGGGACGCCGTGCCTCTTCCCAGGAGCATCCAGGACTCTTTGGCCTCCCTGCAGGAAGATTTCAGTGGCTGGGCCAGGTCCAATATGCAGCAGGCAGATGAGCTTCTGAAGATCGGCGATGGCCTCCTGCAAGCTCAGCGCAGGGCAAACAGGCACCTGGTATCCATGACCAAGGAGATCCGTGCCATGTCCCGCTCCCTGGCCACTGTCACCTCTGCCGTGGGACCCTTGCTGCAGCCCATGGCCGACCCTTGGGACCCCCCCACCGCAGACATGGACTGGCCATCACAGCCCTCCAACCTGCTGGAGTTATTCCCTTCCAGCACTCCACAGAAGCAGGAACTGCTGGTCCCTGCAGCTACCACAGTCCCATCCCCCAGCAGCCTTCCTCCTGCCACCTCCCCTGCCTCCCCAGCATGCTTGGAGCCTCACAGTCCAGCCTCCAAGGGGGAGCACTCCGAATCACTGCACCCCACCAGGGGCAAACGTGGTGGGAAGCCCAGCACCAGGCTTCAGAAGCGAAGGAAGAAGTGAGGGTCTGCAAACCGGAATGGTTGCCATGGACTGTGGCTGCTTGGAAAACCCTTTCAAAGTCCCTGTGGAGACCAAGCTCTCCATCTCACCTTGCTATGCCAATAAATCCTCCTGGGATGAACAGTGCATTGGTCTTTTGCTGGGTTAGGGAAGGTAACATCTCCCCCATCAACAAGTCATCACTGCTGCTTGGCAATAACATGCTCAGAAACAGCGTGATCCTACTAATTATCTTTTCTTTTTACCTTCTCACCATGTACAACCTCACAGTGTATGGGTCTGGGATGGGTGGGAGGGCAGCAAACCCATATGGGAGAGCTGGAGGAAAGGCTTCGGTGCAGGGATGGGTGAATGAGCTGGCAGGTGGCCACACAGAGTGGGCACCTCTCCAGCCCAGCTCACTGCTCGATTTTGGTCTCCATAGCATCTCCAAGAGGTGACCCTTCAAGGAGGTGGCCCCAGAGCCACCTGCACCTCCTGCAGTGTCTTTTCTCACTGCTCTCAGATGTTGCCAGCATTGCTCGCCTTCCTCTCCACTAGCTGTGTTTTTCTTCTTTCAGAAGCTGCTCCAGCTCCAGCCATGGAAAACTCCCACCAGGTGAGACTTGGCTTTGCTTTGCCCTGGGATTTTTGCCTTGTGAGGTTACCTGGCAGGACTTTGGGGCTACCCCCAGTCCTTGCAAGGTTGCTTGAGCTCTGGCATTTGGTCGCTGCTTTCCAAATTCTCATTTGAAAGAGGAGATGGGTCGAGCTGGCTGTGCATAGGGCTGCAGAGTCAAGGCAAACATTGTCCCTTGGAAGGACCTTTCTGGTTGAAGTGCAAACATCTCGGCGTGAGACCTGCTGCTGCATGCATGGTAAAGAGCTCGTGTGGGCATGGTGGCTTGCAAGGCTTAGCCCTGCCTGCAAGCCCTGAAGAACTGGGGAGCCTCAGGGCTGAGGCAAGAAGATAAAGATGATTTATTCCCCCAGCTCGGGAAGGTGAGGTTCCCATCTTCTTCTTTGCAGCTGTTAAGCAAAGCAGAAAGTTTTCCTCACCCTTGTGAGGCAGAGAGAGGACCGTGACCTTGTTCAGCTGTGCTCTGGTGGCAAATGACAGCTCCATCCCTGAGCGCGCAGGGCTGCTCTCACCGGGCTCCTCTTTGCACACTTAGGCCTCCACCTCCACCCCTGCAAAGAGGAAGAAATACCAAGACGTGAGTGCCTCAACGTCGCCCATGAAGGCGATGAAGGTTGAGGACAATGAAAACTGGTGGAGCCAGATGGATCCACAGCAGCGAAGCTGCTTGGACCAGCCTGGGACCAGCTGTATGGTGTCCCCCACCACTCTTGTCAAGAAAGAAAGCCTGCTGGAAGATGTGCCAGATGGCAGTGGTGAGCTGCACGACTCAGGTAAGCAGTGTCCAGAGCGGTGAAGGCACAGGTACACATTTTGAGGTGGAGGCATTGAGGCAGGGCAGTTGGCAGCTTCTCCATAGACCTCCCAGAAGGATAGTTCTATCCCCATACATTGCCTTGCTCTCCACCCACCTTGATGGCTGTCCAGGGCCACCTCAGCATGGTTGGTGATGCTGATCAGGGGACCATCAGCCCTGGCACTTGCTACATGGGTGGACAGCTCCACATCCAAAAAGTGACGGGTGTTTCCTATCTTGGCAGAGAGCGATATTCTCGGCTTGGACAGCTTTGAGGAAGACAGCACCAATGAGGAGTTGATGGTGAGTGCAGCTAAAGGGCTTTTAGTGCTTGGCCCTGCATTGCTCAGTGTTTAAGCCGTAAAGACTGGATCACTCGGTGCTTCCAGACCTTCATCAGGACCATCCCATATCCCCTTTAGAGCCTGGCAAGGAACCTGTGAAGTGCCAAAATAAATTCTCTCTAGCTCTCCTGCACTTCTAGGGGAACTGGGCTGCTCACCAGCTTGGAGACCTTGGTAGATAACATCTTGGTGACAGCAAGGTGGTGAGCAGCCAAAACAAAGGCCAGCAAGAAGAGACAGTCCAAAACCTCACCTCGTCTCTGAGGCTATGGATGGATGGGGTTTTGTTGCTACTTTGCGGTGCCGAGCAGTTCCCATGACAGTCTGCGCAACCAAAAGCTGGTGGCTAGCTCTTCAGAAGAGGTTTTAGGAATGGGCAGCTTCTCTTCCCTGCCTGCTGTTGGCTAGGTTAGGCCATTGGCTCGTGACCAGAGAGGAGATGTTGGGTAGCCCCATCTCTTCAGCAGAAAGCCAGTCAGGAGGGATCCAAGCGAGCCATCCTGTGTGGATGTGCATGGAGTATCTATGTCACTTTGGTGGTGCTGAAGTCTTCATGACCGACCAGAGGGGATTATTACACCCTAAGTCCTCTAGCAGGCAGTTTGAGGAGATCCCTGAGCTTTGGTAACCTCCAGGACACGAGCGCCCAAAGCTGCTGCCCTGGTTCTTCCTGTGAAGATTATTAAAAGCAAATTGTGTGGTCTTCCAGGACTCCAGTCTGCTAGATGACCTCAGCAACATCCTCGATGAGAGCCCCAGTGAAGACTACCTGGGCCTTCCCATCAAGATTCAGAACACACTGGACATGAGACAAGGATCCGTGGTCTTCTTTGACATGAAGATTTTGAGTAAGATCCTAAGTGGGAAGGTCCTGTGTTGCAGCCAGCTCAGATCCTCACATCTGACAGTGTCTCTTTTTTTGGGGGGGGAGAGGGGGAAGTTCAGACATGCCCACCATGGCCTTGGCCATGTGAGGGAGAGGACAATATCCTGAGCTCCCAAGAGCCTTTGCCTTTGAGTTTCAAGACATCTGGTGGAACGTGGAGCCCATAGGGCCATGGGGAGATTTCTCTGAGATTGCTTAGCCAGTTAACCAGCCCTTGTGCTGTTGTGTCAACATGGGCTCCCCTACTTCTCCTTCCCATGGGTCAGTCTCTCTTGGGTGAGGTTGATTTTACTTTTGAAGCCACTCTTCTTCGCCCGTCCTCAAAAAACTGTAGAAGCCCTCATGTTCCCAGTTGGGAAAATGATGCCACTTCAGGAGGTGTTAGTGTTAATGGGAAGGACACTCCTGAAGGATGTTGGAGATGCTGGGAGCTGAGAGTGGGACTGAATGGTGGAGATAGGTGAAATGATGAATCAGTGCCCCAGCTGCTATCGATGGTGAAGGCTGTTAGAGGCTGAACAACTCGGTGTTTTATTGTCCTACTGAATAAGAGACTAATTCTTTCTTCTCCAATCTTCTTTCCCTTCCCTCTCCTCTTGTCTAGAAAATGAAAGCATTCAGATGACAGTGGTAGATGGAGATAAAATATTCCCAGTCATGATTCAGCCAGTGAGATATTTGTCCAGCTTGATGGACAAAAATAGCATCTGCGAGATCGGTCTGAGGAATCTGCTGTGCCACCTCAGCACTCTCCACAAGCCCATCCTGGGTGGCTTTGGTCTCTGGTCACTCCCCTTTGCCAACCTCTTGAAAGCGTTGACAGTCATGAACAAGAAAGACGAGTTCAGCTCTCTTGTGTATGGTTTCCTGGACATTTTGCCCGTGATTAAGGAGGAGATCCCTGAGAGGGATAACTACAACCTGAAGAACTTGGCCAGCACTTACCTCTGGTGGCACTTCAGTGACTGCAGCACCATGGAGAATGCCAACATCATGAAGTACCTGTGTGAGGTCCTGGATGTCAACCTGATGAAGAAACCCAGGCTGATCCTCAATCAAGCTAGCCTGGAGTCCTTCATCTCCCTCCAGCCCTTGCTTGCTGAGAAGCTCCTCACCAAGCCGGCAGCCCAAACGTTGGCCACCCACAACATTGGCCTTGCTGAGCTCCAGTCCTGCTTCCAGCACAACCCTGAGACAGGGCTCCAGAAATTGTGCCATTTCATCAACGCTCACCAGCACAAATCTGTCAAGAAAGTCCGAAACCTGAGCAAGGTCAAGGTCTACTTCCAGTGCCAGGAACAGTCAGTTGAAAGCCAGAAGACCTCAGCAGGCAGTGATTTCCCAAAAGCCATAAAGAGCGAGGAAAAGTGATGAAAGATGTTGGTGCCTCGCCAGGACTCATTCCCCTCTCACCCATGAGGAATGAGTCCTGGAGCTGAATCCTGGCTCACATCAGTAGTTTTGTCTCAATATTTCCTGCCTGCTCCCGCCTGGGGTGATGAATCTGGGTCTCTGGGGTGTGACAGCCTCTTGCTGTGCTTTCTTATCTAAACTTGTGCTAAGGCGAAGAGGAGAGGACACCAGCTCGGCTGGGAGATGTTCTCTGTCAGATCTCTCTGATCTGACACCCTGCAGCCAACACCGTGCCTTTGTTTTACCCCTGGATGAATCAAGCCAACTCTTGGGAGAAATCTCACTATTTCTGGTCTGGATTTTTTGGGGGGTCAAGGGGATCTGAAGCCAGGTGGGGAAACTGGTTTGGAAGGACCAAGTATGGTGGCCATTGCTGGGAAGGACGGCAGGCAGAGCAGCTCTGTTCCTGTGACCTGCTGTGTGGGGCACAGCTGTGAGATTCTGCTGAAAATCCTCCTTCAGGCAGCAGAATCCGACCCCTCTAGCCTGGGACATGAACATCCTAAGTGGACACACGTGGGTATGGTTTTCCTACCTCACGTCCTGCTTTCCAAGCCCCAAGACAGCCAGGGAATTGCTCGATCGGGGGATGCACTTCATCGCTCTTTGGTCCTGCTTACAGCTGCAGAAGAAATAAATAATTTTCCTAATGTGTTGTGCATTGCAAATGATTTTCTTTTGCTCCCTGTTCCCACAACACCCACTTGCTCAAAAAGGCAGAGGCCCTGGGTGGGCTTTGTGGTGATGGGTGCTTTGCAGTGTGTTGACACCCTGAGCCCACAAGGCAGCTGAGATGAGCATGGGATGACCCGTGTATGTGAGCTATGCAGCTATTCCCAGGGTAGGTGTTGGCTTTAAAACAAGCCAGGGTGCACCAAGAGGTGCTGTTTGCTTAGGGAGGTGCCAAGAAAACCCATCAGCCTGCTCCCCATGTCATTTCCCTTCAGATGGTGCATAGCTGTACTGGCAGCTACCCAGTTTGGATTGTGCCCAGACAGCCTGGTTCAGCCACATTTACCACCCAAAACTTGTGGGCATCTTACCTGGTCCATGAGCAAAGCAATGAGCACACCAACGTTCACCAAGAGGCAGTGGCAAAGCAGACATCTGCCCTGTGCTGTCCCTAAAACTCCACCCGAGGACTCCTGTCCAGTGCCGTGCACCTCCCCAGTGTCACTTCAACACACAAACTGCTTTTCTTCCTGATTTGTAGCCTCTAACCAGGCAGGAAGAAGCTTGCAGGGTGGTTCAGCTGGGTCAAGATTATGGGAACCGTTTTGCCCCAGGTCTAGTAATTCTTATTAGAAATTATTCTTTCCAATGCCTAATAATTCTAATACTGTTCCTGGTAAGGATTAGTCTATTCATTATTTTACTATTGCTTATTTCAACACCAGTCCTGCCCAGGAAGGTGGTGGCTGCAGGAGACAAGTCTGTTCAGGTAATAGCTAAACAGCCATGTCTGCACAAGCATTTTCCTCCCATTTGCTAAAATCCCAGGAAATGCAAGGAAACAGCGGTGGCAGTGCCAGTGCAGATGTCACCATGTGGAATCTGGTCCTGCAGGAGCAGGGATACAGTTCAGGTCAACTGATGTGAACTCCTTCATGATCCCCTTTTGTCCTTTTATTCTTCCACCTAACTCAAGCTTAAATTTCCTCTTTTTTATTTAAAAAATAACTTTTGTTTGATAGAGAAGAGGCAACCATGAGTCCTTCATGTCTTGGAAATCCACAGTTGCCCTTTACATGAGTGGCTTCATGAGGATTGCCATCATCTCAAAGGAGCTGGGGACTGGGACAAGTTTGGGCACCTAAAGAGTGGGTTTGCCTTGGGAAAGTGTCACCCCCCTGTCCTAGTAACCCCACTGCAGAAAGGCCCCATGATCTGGAGGTGGCACATGTCAGTGTGGATCTTGCAGAGCTGTTTGTTACCAAAAAGCAGGGGAAAAAGCTTCCACTGGCTGCACAGCTAACTCAGAATCTCTCTTGTGGGCAAGGGACCTCTCATGAGCTCATCAAGGCCCACCATGATGAGTTCCTCCAGGAACTGGGTGCTCTCAGCTGTTGCCAATTGGCTTCATGGGAGGTAGGGGGGAGCATCAGCTGGGCTGGGAGTGGCTGTGAGAGACGTGGGCTATAAAAGGCCCCTGGGCAACCATTACTACTTGTGCTGGACCCTGGTAGGTGAGATGAGGCCTGGAAGCAGCCTGTGGTTTGCTTTTTTCCTGCTGGGTTTTTGGGGAGGTGATGGCTTACAGTCCCTGGGGCTTCCTTAGAGAGGATCCCTCCTTGAGGCAGCCCCAGGTCTTCTCCCAGCCCTCCCCTTGGGCATGGGTGGATGTCTCCCAGCTCCAGGCTGCTGCCCCACTGCATTCTGTGGCTGTGCGGTGCCAGGAGGAGCAGGTGGTGGTCACAGTCCACAGGGACCTCTTTGGCACGGGATGCTTGGTCAGGGCTGCGGAGCTGACCCTGGGCTCAGCTGCCTGCTTGCCCGCGGCCTGGAAACCTGCTGAGACCACGGTGACCTTCATGGTTGGGCTGCACGAGTGTGGCAGCACCCTCAGGGTAAGGCTGTGGGGGTTGGAGCCCTAGTGTGGGAGGTCTGCACCTCAGTGCCTTAGGATGCTGAGACTGGGGGGTTGTGGTGTAACTGGAAATGCTCTACAGCCTTTCCTAGAGAGTGAGCATTTCAAGGTCAGCAGAAGCAGGGAAAGATATGCAAGAGGCAGAGAAATTAGGATATTTTTCTTGATGAATACAGAGATGGTTAAAGGTTCCAGGATTATTTATGCTGTTGCTGCCACCTCCAGGGTGGAGCCCAGATGACATGCTGCCAGCAAGTGGGTGCTTACCTCGGGAGGCATCTGGGTGCTGCTTGAGTATAACATGAAGTTCCTTCACAGAACACTTGAATTTGAGGTGGTCTCTCTCCACTGAAAGAGGCTTGGGGCTATGAGAGTGAGTAGGTGCCCCTGCCCTGCCCCCCCCCCCATTACCCCAGCCTGCAGAGGTCTTCATTAAATGCCCCCGAGCAGAAGTCACCCTCTGATATCCTGGAGGACAGACCTTCCTGTCCTGTTCTGGGGCATGAAAACTAGAAGAAAAAAACAAAAATTAAAAATCAGCTTAATCCCCTCTGCTGCTGCCCAGAGGTTGTCCTGACACAGCCTGGAGATGCTTCCCAGCCCAGAGCATCCCTGCAGACCAATGCTGCTGGCTGATGACCAGAAGAAACTTCTTGGCACTGATTCTCCAGGCTTAAATGTGCTGCTCTGTGTGTGTGTCCAAGGAAGGGGGCTCTCAATGACTGGATAATGAATCTTATTTCTTCCCCAGGTGACCCCTGATGCTCTTGTCTACAGCACGAGCTTGAATTACAATCCAGCTCTTACTGGCAACCCAGTTGTTGTCCGCACCAGCCCTGCTGTGGTTGCCATTGAGTGCCATTACCCAAGGTGAGCCAATGCAGATGAGCACCAAGGAAGCCCTTCTGCTGCCACAGAGCCTTTAACCATGGGCATTTCTTCCCTAGGAGGGACAATGTGAGCAGCAACGGAGTCAAGCCCACATGGGCGCCTTCCCACTCCACGCTGTCCTCTGAGGAGAAGCTGCCCTTCTCCCTGCGCCTCATGAATGGTAGGTTTTGGCTGAGGGTCTCCTTTAATGCCTCTGAGGTGGCCATGGTTCCTTGGCTGGTGCTGGTATCACCCCAGTGCTCATGAAGCAGCTGGGGTTTCGTGCAGTTTTGGTGCGTACCCAAGGCCTTGTGCTCATTGAGGTTTCCTTGGGTGGAAGCGGTGGAGCACAAGCTGGCTTCCCATTCATGGGTGCCTGGTGACCTCTTTTCCTCTAGATGACTGGAGCACTGAGAGAGCCTCCACCATATTTCAGCTGGAAGAGGTCCTCCACTTCCAAGCCGGTGTCAACACAAAGAACCACGCACCTCTGAGGCTCCCTGTGGGCAACTGTGTGGCCACCCTGACCCCAGACAGGACCTCTTCTCCTCAGTATGCTTTCATTGACTTCAGTGGGTAAGAGCTGGCTGTGTCCTTATTTAGAGACGCCTTCCTACAGGTCATGGGTATCTGACAGTGGGATCCTGCGGGCTCTCCCTTTTGTGTCTAGGTGCATGGTGGATGGGCAATTGGATGATGCTATCTCGACCTTTATATCCCTGAGACCCAGGCAAGATGTGCTTCAGTTTGCAGTAGACGCATTCAAGTTTGCAGGGTACTCTAGCAATCTGGTGAGTCCTTCCTAAAGCACGTGAACCCCCTTGTTGAGATTTGGTTACAGCCTCACTCCATTAAGAAATTAATGTGGTTTTGTCTAAAAATCACATTCCCAAGGCAATGAATGAATGTATTACTGTTTCTGGATTGTGGCCCTCTGAGCCAAGTAGACCAATTCTGATACTGGTCAAGACAGGCCCTTCTGATGACCTTCAATAGCTGAACCCTTAAGTGGCTTGAAGGAAGCAGAGTTGGTGGTCCCACTGGAGACCAACTTCATGGTGTGTGGAGAAAGTCATAAAGGAAGATGACAGCCTAACCCCTCTGCTCTGCCTGGCCTCCCCAGATCTACATCACCTGCCACCTGAAGATCTCCCTGGCTGACCAAGCTCCAGACCCTCTGAACAAGGCCTGCTCCTTCAACAAAGCCAACAACCTGTGAGTAGTTGGAACAGCAGCTTGCCTGAGGGTGAGGAGCTTGGGCTTCTCATCCAGTGCATCACCTGGGTGGGAGGGTTTTGGTCTGCCCTATGAGACCCTAAAGTATGAGAGGGATTCCTACCATAGGGTGGGCTGGTCACCAGGCTCTCTTCTAGCTGGGTTCCTGTGGAAGGCACCCAGGATGTCTGCTCCTGCTGTGACATGAGGAGCTGTGACTTGGCCAGGCACTCCAGGAGACCCCATGCTCCCACTCGATGGCAAGGAGGATGTGCCCGGAGAGAGCTGCCCTCCCAGCTTGGTAGGTCCCAGTGTCCCTCTTTATCACCATCATGGTAATTTGTTGGGTGGCTGAAGCTGTCTCACTACCAGCTGGCCCCTAATCCAAGGCTAAGTGTTCACACAAGCTTGTGGGTGCTCAAAGGTCCTCCCTTTCAGATCCCTTGGTGGAAGAAGCAGATGTTGTGGTTGGCCCTCTCCTCATCCACAGCTGGCAGGATCGCTCAGTTAGGAAGATGCTGTCACAAGGTGGGCAAAACCCAGGGATACTGGGGTAGTTGTGGCAGGTCCTGGCTCTGGCCATAACCACTTCCTTGCTTCTCCTTCCTAGGTCATGTGTGGATGATATTGGGGCTGGTTGAAGTTGCTGGTTTGGTTGTCCTGATCCTTGCTGTCCTAGGAGCTCTGTCTGTCTGCCAGACACCCAGCAACCCTGCTTAAGTCACTGGTTTCAGCTTTTATAGTCTGTCTAATAAGAAAATAAATTGGAGGACTGAAAGAGTCTTGGTGGGGTGAGCGGAGAAGTCTTTCTGCAGCCTGAGCTAATAAAATCTTCACGCTATCTTTAACTGTGCCTCCCTAAACCCCATCTTGGTGTCTCACTTTCCTGAAGCCCTCTCCTCAGAAGAGCTTTGTACAGCCTTACACCCCCATGAACTTTCCCTAGAGCATCTCGTTGGCAAAATAGTACCTTCCAGATACTCTGTTTTCTTGTCTCTAGATGGATGGAGTTGTATTTTGCCTCAAATATTTTACCTTTCTGTGGAACTGCTTGCGTTGGCTCCATACTGGTACCTCTTTACTCAACCAGCCAAGGGGAGCTAAGGGTTTAGTAAAACCTGGACCACTTTCCTCCTACATGGAGCTGCTTCTGGGAGAGAAAGCAAGCATTGCTGGATAAGGAAGGGAGCATAACCTGAGGGGTGGGTGGATTGGGCTCTTCCTGGGGCAGACTGAGGCAGGAATTCCAGTCCCTTCCCCAAGGACTGTTTACACATAGTTGTATGTAAGAAGCCTTGGCTGAAATGTATAAACAGTCCTTGGGGTAGAGACTGGAATTTCTGCTCCTGCTTCCCCCTGCCCCTTCCCCACCTCCAGAAAGGGACTTTCTGTCGGGCCTGAGTCACTTCTGCTTTTTCCTCCCATTCCTGTAAAATTTGGGCTCCTCTGCACAAGTAGAGCAGCCATAATGGTGAGATGTTACTGCCCAAAACCTGTCACTCCCCACTACCTGGCTAAGGCTCCCACTTTAGGAGCAGTGAAGACCTTTTGACAGAGGAAGGTTGTGTATTGCACAACCTGGCATAGCTTTAGGTGTGATCCAGCACCTTGGTTGCCTTTTTATAAATGTCAGCTTGCAGTAGAACCTCTTTGGCACAAGGTATGGAGCTGAAGTTGAGACTTTAGGTCACCTAAATCCCAGTCCCATCCCTTCCCTTGACTGCTCCTGGATCTACAAGCACATTAGCCCTTCCTCGAAATGACAAGATTAGTTCTGGTTGGGGTTGTTGATATGGTTTCTTTACTTGTCCAGATGATCTGACCTTTGCTGGAGGGGATGGGTCCTTGTCTTGCAGCAAGGTGAGAGGTACTCCTAGGGGGATTTGCTGGCAGAAGTCTTCACCGTTCCCTTTAGAGCTGTGAGCTGTCAGCTCTTGGGACAGAAGGTCCCCCTTCAGCAGCTCCTGCCCATTCCCAAGCACTACCCCAGCTCCAGCAATGCTCAACAGCAGCGCTGACCTCACTATGTCGTGAGAGTTTTTTAACTTAAAACTTTGTTATAAGGAAAAAATGAGAGATGTTTTTAAGTCCCTTTTATGCAACAGGAGTAAAAACACTGTGTTTGTGCTTATCCAGTGCCCTGGGGCTTTCTGGTCTCTGCTTCCTTTGAAAAAAGTGAGTTCATGCTCTTTCCCAACTGCACTGGTCCACAGCAAATGTCATGTTGTGCCTGGAATAAAGACAGGACCTGGCAAGGGCTGAAAATCCCCTTTTTCACAGAGGAAATACTCCCTGCACCCTGAGCCTGGATGCATTCCAGTGTTTGGATTTCACCTTTGCTAATTTGAACCCTGTAAACATAAGGTGGGATTTATTCTCATGCTGGGATCGAGTCCTGGTACCCAGAGCCCCTGGATGAGATGAAAGCAGGCATCTCCCATGGTCCTTGCAGCCAAGGACCCAGCCAAGCAGCAATACTCACCCCCAGGACTGCTTATTTACTGATTCAGCATCCTTATCTCCCTGACGCATGGGGCTCGGCTCACTGGCATCCCTGGCATTTTGATGTAAGGACTAAGCTCAAGGTATTTGAAACATGAAGATGAAGCCCAGGACCCTCTGACAGTGGCAGAAATGAGGCATCAGCTCCAGGGGGGAAAGGTGAAAGGTTTTATGCCAGTCCAGAAAGCTGGATATTGAGTCAGGCACAAGCCAGTCCCAGCTCCAAGCCTGGTGGGATTTCTGCTAGGAGTGGGCTGGCTTATATCTGCCCCCAAAACTTAGTGTTTCTTTTCATTTTCCCAGAAATGGCTCAGCTGCTCCAGCTCAAACATCCACATTTGAGGTTTTCTCCTGTCCCTAAAGCCAGAGAGGGGCTTAGGGTATGAAATGGAGCATCCCTCATATGCAGATGGTTGTGGAAAAAGAGTTAAAATCACTCCAAAAAAAAAAAAAAAAGGCCACAGACTCCAATAGTAACATTTGAAAACACTGTTTTAAAAGTTATTTTTTAAGCAGCTGAGAATGGCCAGGCTCATGTCAGTGGTGAGGGCTCCTTGTCAGCTCCTGCTGACCCAACACCCTGGCCCCGCTGAGGATGTGGGAGATGCTTCAAGCCCCTGTTCAGCCTGGAGCTGTAAGAAGTGGGCTCCAGGCCCCCCCTTATTTCTTCAGCATCTGAGCAGAAAACCAAAGTCCCAGGGGGGTGGTGGTGCTGGGCAGGGCTGGATCCCACAGAGGGGCTGGGAAGCACCAGGGTTTGGGCTCCTGTCACCTCCCCAGCAGCCTTGAGAAGCCCCTTATCACCTACTAACCTAAACAAGCCACTCTGTACCCGTCTCCCCGTCTCCGGCTTCTGCTGAGTTTTATAAACAACTGCCCCAAAAAGGCTGACGAGGATGTTTGCGCTTGCCTTGGGCAGCCCAGGAACGGGGGGTTTTGGCACCCCGGAAATGACTCGGTCATGTCATCCCTCGAGGGCTGGCCTTTGGGTGCCATTGGACTCCAAACGGGAGCCCAAGGGGGATATAAAGGCCGAAGGAGCAGCCCTGCTTCTCCAAGACAGGGTTTGCTGAAAGAAGGAGGGATGGGACCTGAAAGCTGCTTGCTCCTGGCTCTTCTTTGCTGGGTGGCGGGTGAAGTGGCTGCCTACCCTCCCTGGGACTTCTCCTGGGGTGACACAGCAAGCCGGGGGGCACGGGCAGACCCCCATGCCTGGTCCTGGATGGAGGACCCCCATTCTCATGCTGTCTCCAGCCAGCAACCGGTCAGCGTGGAGTGCCAGGAGGCTCAGCTGGTGGTGACGGTGCACCGGGACCTCTTTGGCACCGGCCGCTTGGTCAACGCAGCTGACCTGACGCTGGGGCCAGCGGCCTGCAAGCATTCCTTGCTGAACCCTGCCCTCAACACCGTCACCTTCACCGCCGGCCTCCATGAGTGTGGCAGCATCGTGCAGGTAAGACCTTCTCCCCTTGCTGCTTCCCCCTGTTTTGAGGTCCTGCTTGGAATCCCCCCCCTTCCGGAGTAGCTCCAGGACCAGGCACACCCTGTGATGCTGGGGAGTGCCATGCAGAGCCCCATCAAGGAGCACCCTAGAAGAAGGACAAGTTGGTATTTTCCCCAAACTGCAGCTCTTTTTCCCCAAAGCTGCTTTGCCCTTTCAGCCAGGGACAGTGCAAAGCCCCTACGTCAGCCCCATTTTGCTCATGTTTCCCCCTATTAAGTAGTTTAATTCACTGAGAACAGAGCTGGGCTCCTTCTCCATCCCCTTTTCCCCTGCCTTTTCCCCCCTTTCTTTATGTTTTCCCAGTTGGGAAAGGATGGATACATGGCGTGGTGGTCGTGGGGCAGCCTCTCCACCAGCATGCCATGGTTTTTTTGCCCAGATCACGCCGGACTCCCTCATCTACCGCACCCTCCTCAACTACGACCCCAGCCCTGCCAGCAACCCCGTCATCATCCGTAACAACCCCGCTGTCATCCCCATCGAGTGCCACTACCCCAGGTGAGACCTCCCTGTCCTCGGTGTCCCCCTCCAGCCCGGTCCCCAGCACGGGGCTGTGTCCTGACACGAGGTGGTCCTTGCCCAGGAGGGAGAACGTGAGCAGCAGTGCCATCCGCCCCACCTGGGCGCCCTTCAGCTCCACGCTGTCAGCCGAGGAGAGGCTGGTCTTCTCCCTGCGCCTCATGAACGGTAGGTGGGAAGCCATCCTGATTTTTTTCTGCCCTTTTTTCCCCAGTGGGGAGGAGCTCAGGAACCCAGCGCCTCGCCGGGAAACCCATGGCTTTTGGGCAGAGCTTTGACTCAAGTCCCACAGGAGCTCTTCTCTTTGTCACTCCTTGCAGAGGACTGGAGCGCCGAGAGACCCTTCACCGGTTTCCAACTGGGTGACATCCTCAACATCCAAGCAGAGGTGGCCACCGAGAGCCACGTGCCGCTGCGCCTGTTCGTGGACAGCTGCGTGGCCGCCCTCAGCCCCGGCGCCGACTCCTCGCCCCACTACACCATCATCGACTTCAACGGGTGAGCTCTGGGGATCCACTGGTGCTGGGAGGGGGGGGCACCCACGGGGCTGCTGACCTCCCTTGTCCCTCCATAGGTGCCTGGTTGATGGGAGATCAGATGACACCAGCTCTGCCTTCATCACCCCCCGGCCGCGGGAGGATGTGCTGCGCTTCAGGATTGATGTGTTCAGATTCGCGGGGGACGCCAGGAACTTGGTAAGGCTGCGTGTCTCCCTTGCCATCCCTAAACAACCCTGGTGTCTC